TCAGGAAACAGATCAAGACCAGTGTTCTCTGTAAGGAAAGTATTTAGGTTGTAGTAGTAGTCAGGAAACAGATCAAGACCAGTGTTCTCTGTAAGGAAAGTATTTAGGTTGTAGTAGTAGTCAGAAAACAGATCAAGACCATGTAGTATTATCCGAAAACACGTGGTAAAGAAGTATAATATTTTTGTAATATTGCAAACATTAAAAAAGGAAAAAAAAAGGCTTAGAATATCATAGTAAATGAAGTGCTAATGTTATTTTGAAGATAAACTCAAAGTTAGCATACGACTCATAAGTAAAAAGATAACGAATTTACATTATGGTTTTAGATGTTCTATTAAGAACATGAATTACTTGTCTAAAGGGAACACAACCACACTACAACGTGCTTAGAGATGCTTTATTGATATTCTAAGGTCTGTGCTGTTGAACTTTACATAAATGTTTTCAATCACGAAGCATCAGTGAAGGAGAAGAACAGTAAAATGGGCACTGTGTACTTCCTCCTGATCACAAAACACCAATAAATAAATAACTTGGTATGATATTTGTTTATAAATTTCATTCACAAGCGCCTATAAGTTTGCTAAAATTGTGTAAAGATTATTTAATGATTAAACTAAACTGTAATATTGCAAAATCTCAAAATAATAAGATCTACGAGTGTTGTAGGAGAGGGGATAATTCTAGCTCCAAGGAAACGGAAAGTCGAATTCTAAGTAGATTAAAATGTTTTCTTTTTCTTCCACCAGCTCACAGTTTGTCAAGTACCTTTTGGTCATCTGTTAATTCGCTCCAGTCAATCAGAGGCAAAGGCTTGTGTGGATTTCTACGTATTATACCAGCGGTGTTTTCTCCAGATCCTTTGTAGATGGCTTTCAGCGCCGATTTGTTCTTTAGGTCCAGCGTTCCTTCGAAATACATATCATTTATATAGTATAATAGTCGGTCGACTTTCTCTGGAAATCTGTCAATTTGATCCCGAGATTGTGGGACTGGCTGGTCTATTTGATCGTTTTGCTCCGATCCATCGGCTCCAAACATTGACTTAAATTTATTTTTCATAAAACTGATGATCTCAAAATCGTTGGATTGCTTATCGATATCGTCTTTTACGGACTGGAATGAGCTGATGATAAGAGTGATGAAGATGTTCAGTAAGATGATTGACGTAATGAAAGCAAAGAAGAAGAAGATTAAAGGACCAACAACAGGAGCCGTCAGATACATGGATTCAAAGTCAAATTTCCCGCGCATCATGTTGAACGAAGTTTCCGCAGAGTTGACGAAGGACGAAAATTCGATTAAAGAGACGCCGAATATCAGGTAGAAAACTTGGACAAAAGCTAGATAAGTGATCAGAAACACGACACAGAAGGATTTGAGATCCTTGGAGCACTGAGATAAGGTGCTGTACAAAAATCCCATTCTCCGGTTAAACCGGAGCAGTCGGGTGAATTTCAAAATGGCGATGAATATCAAGAAAGACGAGATGTAACCAAAAATCTCATCAACTGCAGCAACAAACTGAAGCTTCACGTAGCCGTTACCATTAGTTTCGGTGAAAATCTTCAAGATCCTGTGTGTGATGACCATTCGATAAACGTAGAAGACAATAGCGGTGTAGGACAATCCAATAATAACGAGCTCGATTATACTCCAGTAACTTTGAAAGTACGCCGTGCGCTCTTTTCGGATATTTTTAATTTCTCTTACGGTGAAAAAGAGGGTAAAGACCACGTAAAAGACCTCACAGAGGAGAACAAAGAGGCCGAAACCTTCGTGATATCTCATCAAACGAATCGGGTCGATCCTATAAAATGGAACGATGCCACCTCCCGGAAAAAACTCCGCTACTATGGTTACTACTCCAAACAGGTTGACCTGAGCGTTATAAACAGAGAATTCCACAAACACAGCCCTGGTTCTGCTGTCAACCCAATCAGACGTTTCTAACTTCAATATCATCTCTTTCAGTTGCTTCCTGGTTCCTCGAAGGGGAAAGACGTAGCCCCCTCCGCTGTAGACATCAAGTTTGCCCCAAAAAGGTAATCCATCCAATTCGGACGACGAACGATAGTGGTATTCATCCTTGCTGTTTCCGGTAGGTGGCTCTGTCCAGCCTGGACTATAATCCTTCCGATCTTCGTCAATAATACTTGTCATACCACTGCAGCTTTCCGATATGTCCTTCATAACAGGAACAATGTTGCACGTGTCTGTAACAATGAGTAGTAATTTAAATTAATCGAAACGTTTTTCTAGTTTAAAACAACTGGATTTTATGTATTAAACTGAAGAGCGTGAGGTATCTACTAGAAAGGTTTTATAAAACAATACATCTAAACCTTCGCAAAACAAAGTGGTTCAGAAAATATTTGTGGTTTGTTTGTTGAATTTTGCCGAAAGCCACTCGAGGAGTCGTCCTAAATTTTGAAGTGTAGCTAGCCGTCCCTAATTTAGCAGGATAAGACCACCCACCGCCAACTCTTGGGGTACTCTTTTACCAACGAATAGTGGGATTGACCGTCACATTATAACACACTCACGGCTGAAAGGGCGAGCATGTTTGGTGTGACGGGGATTCGAACCCGCGACCCTCAGATTGCGAGTCGAGCGCCCTAACCACCTGGCCATGCCGGGCCTCTCGGCATTATAGAGCCTTCGTTCGAACCCAGTTCAGGTCCCAGTTTTTTTTTTTTCAGAAACTTTTGATAAGAAAACTTCAAAATAAGTTTTTCTAATATTAACGTCTATACAAAAAAAACAGGAGAGAAAAATTAACGGAAAAAATAATAATATGAGACTTACTGTTCTTTGTCCGGACTTGCCGAAGTACACCGTAACCCATAAGACGGTTCACCCTGTCATCCAAAAAACCGCGGAGTCCAAGGGGTTGACCCCCGTTGTACCACTTTCCAACCAGCAGTTCAGGAACGACAGCTTCTCGTACCCATCTCCAAAACAGAAGAGGCGTAGTGGCCTGGATTAGAACATAAATTATTTACCAACGTTAAAATGGTTGAATAACTAATACACGTCTTAAAGAAAGGTGCACAGTAACTAGGCGAAAACTTTTATTGATATTAATGGCGTTTTAATCGCTCGTGTTTTAAGCAGATGTTTAAAAGTTTATTTATTCACAACGATGATCCCTCGGTGCGACAACGGTAAGTCTACGAACTTACGACGCTAAGGTCGGAGGTTCGATTCCCTGCGATGGACACAAAATATATCCTAATGAGGCTCTGCTCTAAAAACAAACAAACAAACACAACAATGAAAACAATATAAATTTGTTATCCATATAAGATAATGATGTGAGTTTGGTGACGTTTGTGTGACGTAATAAATAATGGTCGATGAGTTTGGTGACGTTTGTGTGACGTAATAAATAATGGTCGAGATTACTCTCTTCATATGTAATTCCCTCGTTAAGAGGTTTGGAACAGTTAATGTTTGCTCTTGGCAGTGAAATAAGTAATAAAAGATAACTAAAACGTTATATTTGAAACATGAGATATGACAACTGAATGTGAAATACCAAGTGTCGTAACGTTCTTTTATACAGTTAAGTGTGAAATACCAAGTGTCGTAACGTTCTTTTATACAGTTAAGTGTAGCATATCGAGTGTCGTAACGTTCTTTTATACAGTTAAGTGTAGCATATCAAGTGTCGTAACGTTCTTTTATACAGTTAAGTGTAGCATATCAAGTGTCGTAACGTTCTTTTATACAGTTGAGTGTAGCATATCAAGTGTCGTAACGTCTTTTATACAGTTGAGTGTAGCATATCAAGTGTCGTAACGTTCTTTTATACAGTTGAGTGTAGCATATCAAGTGTCGTAACGTTCTTTTATACAGTTGAGTGTAGTATATCAAGTGCCGTAACGTTCTTTTATACAGTTTTATACAGTTGAGTGTGGTATATCAAGTGTCGTAACGTTCTGTTATACAGCTGAGTGTAGTATATCAAGTGTCGTAACGTTCTTTTACACAGTTGAGTGTAGTATATCAAGTGTCATAACGTTCTTTTATACAGTTTTATACAGTTGAGTGTGGTATATCAAGTGTCGTAACGTTCTGTTATACAGCTGAGTGTAGTATATCAAGTGTCGTAACGTTCTTTTACACAGTTGAGTGTAGTATATCAAGTGTCGTAACGTGCTTTGGCATAGCTGCTGTGGGAAATTTAGTGTTGCTCTGTTGTTGTTGTTGTTTGAAGATATAGTAGATAACAGATATATTTCTTCGTGATTCTTATCATCACAGATCTTCATCTCCAATGAAATTCATTAGTTACAAAACAATACACGTACTTTGATCTGCTTCTAACTGTGGATACCAAAATTTACAAAAAAAAAACACATACATTTATAAAGGTTGAGTTTCAACGTGACGAAACTAAAACCAAAACCCATTTGGGTTTACCTGTGTAAAATCCAAAGAGGAGTCTCCCTTCTTAATAAAAGCGTTATTCAAGTTAACCTGCATATAGAAGGCGTTCGGATCCCTGTTCCCATAAGATAAAACAATAAGAATCCAGAGGAAGAGTAGGTAAGAAAGAATTTCCCGAATAACTGCATTCATTTTCATTTCCGTAAGCCTCTCTTCTTTAGCTCTTTGCGTCGCCTGCACGTTGATGGGTTTGTAGAGTTTCCTCTCTGAACGTCGTGGTGATTCTATACGGGACATCATAAAATATTTACTTCAAGCACAAATCAAAGTATTTATGAACTAGAGAACAAAGAGAGATACTTTGAGAACCACAAAGGGCATGAAATCAAGTGTATGTTATTGTGAATGGCGGACCTTCCAGGCAACAAAGGTGTTGTCATAACATAAGGCACTATTATCTGAAAAGTTATTGTGAATGGCGGACCTTCCAGGCAACGAAGAAGTTGTCATAACATAAGGCACTATTATCTGAAATGTTCACCCATAACTGGAATATAAAACAATAATATTTATCCTATAAAACACGTTAATTGTACCCGCATAAAGCCATTCTTCATCAGGATTAAGCTCTGGAGCTTCTTCGTCTTCTTCTGCATCATCTTCATCATTGTCTACGGACTTACAGAGGGTTGAAAATATCATGGCCATCAAGAACACCTGGAGGTAAATTAATGAACTATTTATTTCCAATAAAAAAAAAGAGATCTTTATAACTTAAACAGATAAAATTTCTGCTCCTGTCAATAAGCTTTTGACAAAACGCGTGTATTTAAAACCCCTGTACTGTCAATAAGTTAACGGTCGTGCAAATATATAAATTACTTATCGATAAGATCTTGGAGGAGTCTTCTGGAAGTTATAAAATTATCGAAGTAGAATAAATATATCCCGGATATCCCGAACGTTTCGATGTAAACATTAGAGCCACTAAAAAGGTATAATGTACTCTGGGATATCCCGAACGTTTCGATGTAAGCATTAGAGCCACTAAAAAGGTATACTGTACTCTGGGATATCCCGAACGTTTCGATGTAAACATTAGAGACACTAAAAAGGTATACTGTACTCTGGGATATCCCGAACGTTTCGATGTAAACATCAGAGACACTAAAAAGGTATAATGTACTCTGGGATATCCCGAACGTTTCGATGTAAACATTAGAGCCCTCTAATGTTTACATCGAAACGTTCGGGATATCCCAGAGTACATTATACCTTTTTAGTACACTAAAAAGGTATACTTGAAAGCTGAGATACAATCAAGCCAGTTTTAATATTTATCTGTGTATCGAATCAACTTAACAACAGTTCTATTAATAGTTACTATCAGTACACTGGAAATCATTCAGTGTTTTATGCACGTTGTTCAAAAACCATTGTTGTCATTGGTACTTGTTCGAATTTCTTTATCAGACACGATGTCTTCTCTGACGTAATTCTATGATGACTAGGGAAAGGAAGGGTTTTGAAAATCGATAAGTGTGTAAAATATTGGGCTAAAAAAGCGTATTGCAGTCAGACGAAAACGTTATTAAAACTTTTCTTAAGCAACAACAAGAAGAAATCAACTAACATCTATAGGAAACCGATTTTCAGATCAATATCGGTTCGATTGGCAAATGATTAAATAAAGTAAATGATACTGTTGAGAAATGATAATAACTCAGAAGTATGACGTCACGTTATATCTATATTTGGTATTACAAGTAAAGACACGTATTGAAAACTGGATATTAACCAACCTTGTTAACCAACTGTCTTTTTGTCGTAGCTATTCGAAAATATGTTCCTAATAAGTTTTGAGTTTACACAAATCATTATTTAGGTTTCTGTCTTATAGTAAATCATGTATAGAATAGAATATTTTGAAACTTAGCTTTTTGTCTTATAGTAAATCATGTATAGAATAGAATATTTTGTAATTTAGCTTTTTGTCTTATAGTAAATCATGTATAGAATAGAATATTTTGTAATTTAGCTTTTTGTCTTATAGTAAATCATGTA